CCTAATGAAAACTGAGCTTTGAGTGATAACGGTGTGTCAAGACAGGTCTGTTGGTTATGACCAACGCATCATTCTGCTGGGGCTACGCACGTGTGCGGCAGGGCGACATGGGAAATTCCTAGACTTTCCATTCGACTTTGCTGTGAACCTAAAACTGCTTGAGAAAAATTGTATGTTAAAGAAAGAAAAAGCTCAGAATACTGGAGCCCATTCACCCACCAGAAGGGAACCTAATGCAGCAGCCCTGGCACGAAGCCTGGGAATTGACAGTGCGGAGACTTTTCTGTATGTCCAGGTACGTGGGTCAGTGGAATGTGGGTCACCTTCCAGGTCCTCCTTGCAGCCGGCAGGGGCAGAGGAGAGCAGAACCTGAGGTTCCCTTCTCTAGGCAACCCACTCCCTGCACCCCTCCCTACCCAAGGATGGAGGCAGTGGGGGTCACGCATAACAATTTGGCTCCTCACACCCCTAGCCATGCTGTGAGCCTGGGGGAGATTTGCAGTGATTACCTGTCTGGCCGAAGGTTAGGTATAGGCCGAAGTTGGCCGGCCGCAGGGAATTGCTGTTGTCTGTTGTCTTCTCTCCACAGTCCTGGTCTGTCCATCTGACTCGAGGTCCTTCTCCACCAGCATTCTCTTCTCATTGTCTCCTTCCTTGAGAGCCTTCCCTGCCTCCCCTGCTGCAATCCCTTTAAGTCAAACCCAAATGCTGATTTCTTGATCTCCAGATCTTAGGGCCACTTGCTTTCTCCCCCTCTCCCCTACCCCTGGAGTTCACGTCAGCTGGGCTCACCTGTTTGCTGGGTCCTGGGTATTTCCTCTTCTTATCCACACATCTCCCTGCTTCTGAAATGCATGTCTCCCCTTCCCCCTTTTCCATCACTGCACAAGTTTTCACGTTCTCTCCCCATTTACTTCTTTGGGGAGCTTCTTTGCCCAATGCCCTGGACCCCAGAACATACTGCAGTGTCATTCCTGAGAGTCTCTCTGTATGAATATGCCTTGGTGTGTCCTAACACCTGTCCTTTGCCCACCTCTTGGCAAAGAGGCCAGGGCTTGGTAATGAAGACCCAGGAGGGAGGCCCCAGAGCTAGGTCAGGGGACTTGGGCTTAAGGACATCTGCCTTTCAGGAGCTAGAAGACTAGAGACAAGTTATTACTCAGTTTCTCTGAGCTTCTGGTTTTTTATTTTTGGCTATCAGATGAAAACAAGAATGCTCATTGCCTAGGACTTCTGGGAGGAGGAGAGAACAATGGTCATGGGTATAAATGTGCTTTGGGAATGATCAAATACTCCTCTAAGTATTAGCAGCTGCCAGACTCAGAGAGGCCACACTGGCCTCCTGGGGCTAGAGAACCCCCTCAAGCCTGGGGGGTCAAAAGCAAGGAGGAAGAAAGTTGGGCTGATGATGTGTAGAAGAGGGGTCTGCAGAGCTGATGGGTATAGAGGGGAACTGGCTCAGGGCAGAGGCCGGGCAAGAAAGCAGGCAAGATGCAGAAGGAAGGCTGAAGACAAAGAAGACACCCCTCTGGCTTAGGGACGAGCTTCTGGAACCCTCTTTATTCAAAGCCCACATTGTGGCCTAAAACATCACTGAGACAGTCCAGGAACATGTCCCTGAGCTTGGGAGCCCTGGACACTCAGGGGACTACTGGCTTCTCTGTTTCAGGGTGTTGGGCTTGGGAGACTCAATTGTAATAATTTGGGGCTTTAGTTTTGAAATACTCCTGTGACATCTTGAAAGATTTAGGTTTTTGAAGCTTCAGTTTGCCTCTGTAAAATGGGAATCCCACTCAATCTGATGAATATTCAATCAGATAAGGCATATAAAATACTTAGGGCTGGGCACAGGGTGGGTGATCCAGAAATCTTAGTCCTAATAATCATTATACTTATAGAAGCTCCTCAGGCAGCCAGTGGAAGCTGGAAGGATGTGTCTTTCCCCCTAGAAAATAGAAGGAACTGAAAAGTGAAACCACCTGCTCCCCGCAAGGCCCACAGAAGCTTCATCTGGCAGAACTGGGGGGAGAGCGCCCCCAGGCTTGGTTTTGTCTGAGTGTAAGTTTGTGGAGTCCAAGAAGAAGATGGGGGCTGGGGGACGTCTCTTTTCTAGCTCACCCTCCGAAATCCAGACATCCAAGTCTCCTAACCTTTTGAAAGCTTGCTCTGCCAGGATGATTGGCTTGGAAATGCTTGTGGTGCTCAAGCAGTTGATGTCTAGGAACTCTTGGGGAGTCATCTGAGCTGACCCAGAGAGCTGGGAATGTGGGTGAGGCCGGGTGGGAGGGCTTGGCAGGGTCTGGTGGGAAGGGAAGCCTGGGCCTGAGGTTTGGCCGCAGGGGAAGCGCCGGCCCACTCTGTGGTCACATTCTCAGCCGGAACGCAGCGGGGCCGCGTGTCACACTCTGAAAACACACGTTGGCTGACGGTGGATGAGAGCAACTTCCAAGGAGATTTTTTTGATCCATGGGGCAGCTACCTTGTAACTGAAGGAGAAATTGTTTTTAGTGGGTAAAGACTTGGAGGAAATATTGATTGCAATTGGCAATTGAAGAGCACTAAGAACAAGGAACAGTGGGGAAGAAGAGAGCAGAGAGGGAGGGAGGATTGTTTCTTTAACTATTGGACTTCCCATACCTTCCGTCTCAATTTTCACTCATCTCTTTCCCGTGACCTGGTGCTGACATCCAGTGTAAATACTAACCGACCTTTGAACAGCACAGGCTACAGCTGCAAGCGTTCACTTATGTGTGAATTTTTTTCTAAACATGGGTTCTGCATTCACAGATCCAGCCCTCTGTGACGTGCAGTTGGTCAGATCCTTCGGTGTGGAGCTTGTGCCGATGGGGCCTGACTCTGAGCATCCTGGATTTTGGCGCCCCTGGGGTTCTGAAGGCAATTCTCTACAGATACCGACGGATGACGGCAGTTATGCTTTGGGGGAGTCAAAAAGTTTTCCTTGGATTTTTGACTGGGGGTGGGGTGCTGCTTGTAACCCCCATGTTGTTTAAAGGTCAACTGTGGTTCGGGTTGTTTGCTCTTTCTAATGACTCTTAGCTGAATGGGCCTCACGTTACTGTTCAGCTGCTATAGAGGCTTAGACAGATTTCTCTGGAGAGTTATTGGGAGCAGCCTAGTAAGAGTCCTGATGCTCAGAAGATGTTGCAGTGGGTGTTCTTTTCCTACTCAGGAATGATGTTCAAGTTCCCCAGTGCCTAGGGGCAAGGGAGAGAGGTCTGCCTGTCCTGAGGTCAGGCTGCGTGGAGCCCTCTGCAGTGGCGCCACTCGCTGCCCTGCACGGCGTTTGGAACAACATAACACGGAGCATGTGGGCTTCTGTCACTTGGGCAGCAATCTGTGTGTTTTATTATATAGTTTGATGTCTTGTTAGAATAGAAAGGTTTCAAAATTAGCATCAACATTTGAGAAGAAATAAAATTGCTTCCATATGTTGCTTAACTTGGGTGGCACCAAAAAAGGCAGACTTGAACCCCAGAATGTTCCGTTTATCACCCTCCCCATGGCCCATCCAGAAATTCTTGGATGTGCAGCTGCCTCCAGGGTGGCCTAATTTTCTGCTTTCACTGTTCCTCCTTGCTTCCTGCCCCCACTGCCTTACTCCAGGCCACTCTGCTCTTACTCTGTGGCCTGCCCTTCCCTGCAGGGCAGTGGCTCAGGGAAAAGGAGCCAGCCAGCCTCCCCAACCTCACCCCTGCACTCTTCCCCTCCGTGGGCCTGGGTGTCCGCTGACTGGGCCACACAATTTCTCCAGGAAGCCTGTCACACCTTCTCTTTTTTTTTTTTAAAGATTTATTTATTTATTTATACATGCACTGGGTACAGTCAGAAGTGTGGGAGGGTGAGAGAATTCACCAGAGCCAGAGCGGGAAACAGAACAGGCAGACTGACAAAGTACACTGCTGAGGGGAGCAGTGGGTGGCAGGAGAGGTCTGTGCATCATGTGGGACCCCCGCCGGTGGCTGGGGATCGAACTGGCGCTGTAGAGGCTGCAGGTAGCTTCGCAGCCCAGCGCTTAAGTGCTGCGCCACCAGGGAGACCCCTGTCACACCTTCTCTTGTTCTAAACATAAAAGCAGATGACACTGACCCCTATGTCAAGGTTCTGTGGGATCCTCAGAAGACGAAAGAGATCCCCAGATCAAAGGAGGCACCCACTAGAAGGGCTGCTCTTGCCCAGAAGGATTCTGCTTCCTGACCATTGGATTCTTTGCAACATATTCATCCACATATTCTGGACACATAGATCTCCGGTCATTTCATGGTGCCCTTTGTCTAGAAAACATCTGAGACCTTGACCTTTTTAAAAATATATATATTCTGAATAACTCACACCTAAGTAAATGATAATTTTCTTGTTCACAAAATCCCCTGTGGGGAGCAGTTAAGTTCTCCTATAAAGAGCATAGGACAGAAGTTTTTCAGACAAGATTTTCCTTGTTCCATAGGAAACCACCCATTTGATCGATTTTGGGAATCTATCTTGGAAAATTGTGAACTAGTCCAAGTAGTTTAAAAATTCATTTTTAGGGACTTCCTGGTGGCACAAGGGTTAAATCTCAGCACTATCAAGCTCGCGGCAGCCACAGCAGCACAAGTTCCATTCCCAGCCAGGGAGGTGACCCACATGGTGCAGCAAACCTCTCCTGACTCACCCGCTGCTCCCCTCAACAGTGTATTTCAGTAGTTCTGCCTGTTCTGCTCCCCACTCTGTCTCTGGCAAATCCTCTTACCCCCTGCACTTCTGGCCTACACCCCAGCTCTTCTATGCATAAATAAATAAATCTTAAAAAAATTCACTTTTAAAATGCCTATATCATTCCCTTTGTGCTGTCAGAGTATATGAACTTCACTGCCCAGGGCTCAAGACCTGAGTTTTGGCCCTGGGTCTCCCCCTACTGCCTGCCTTTTTATTTATTCATTTATTTTTATAGCTTGAGACCAACAAAAACAAAGAAAATTACACATTAATAAACACCAATTTGTATAATTTATTATATTCTTAGATGGGAGTAGAAAAATTTTCATTTTCTTAACATACACAGCAAAACTGACAATTAACATCAATGCATTTAAAATGATTTTTAGCAAACTTGAAATAGGAAGGAGCTTTTCCCTGATCTTTGTTATCACCACAGATTAATTTATGGAGTCAGACAGTTGACACCCTGGAGTCTTTGGAAGTCTGGGTCAGGAAAATGGTACTGGAGAGGGGAGGGGACAGGAATAGGGCGGGTGATGGGGACAGAAACCCATAGGATGCAGAGAGCCACGAGCTCCCAGAAGGGCTCATGGGTATCTCCAAGCAGAATGGGGTGCTGGCCAGTAGGGGTGGCCCTCCTCGCTCTCCCGCCCTAGCCATGGATGCTGAATATGTTGTAGACCAGTTGGACAGGAAGGAAGTGTGAAAACAGCCTCAAATTCTCTTCTGTCCTCAGAATTAGCTGGGCTAAGTTGCTATAACAAGGAGACCAGGGCCTCCCTGGTGACACAAGGGGTTAAGACGCAACCTATGAAGCTATCTGCAGCTGCTGCAGCACGAGTTCGATCCCCGGCCAAGGAGTAACCCTCATGGTGCAGCAGACCTCTCCTGTCTCCCTGATGCTCCCTCAGCAGTGCATTTCAGTCAATCTGCTTGTTCTGGTCCCTGCTCTGTCTCTGGTGAATCCTCTCACCCTCCCACACCTCTGGCCTGTACCCCAGTTCTTGTGTGCATAAATAAATGAATCTTTAAAAAAAACCAAAACAAACAACAACAAAAAAAAACGCGACCAGGCAGGATGGACTTTTGGTCTTTCTGTTGCACAGTCCCAGGTGAGGTAGACCAGGTGGGTGAACTTGCTCTATGAGGTCATTCCAAGACCTATTCCTTCTCTTACTGCTCTGTTGTCCTCTGGCTGTGGTCCTCAGCTGCCTGGTCACCTCTGCATTGTAGCGTGTGAGAAGTGGGTTTGAGAGAGAGGAAGGCCACCAGCTTCCTTTATGAGGCATTAGATCAAGAAGTTGTACTTATCTGTTCCTGCTCATATTCCATTCCCACCCTGATGGAAGACCACGTGGGGCACAGCGAGAAGACAACCATTGACAAGCCAAAGACAGCAGCCTCGGGAGGAACTAATCCTGCCAACACCATGACCTTGGGTTTCCAGCCCCCAGAACTGTGAGACAATAAATGTCTATTGTTGGACAAGCCATTCCAAATCTTTGCTCCCTTCTCTATAAAATGGAGACTATACATTTAGCATTGTGCCTGACACTTAGGAAACAGTACTTTAGAAGAGTACCCTTCATCCAGACCATAATAATCATTACAGTACTGGGACAGAGTGTAAGAAGTCTGCCTTCTCTGTTTTTAGGAATCTCATCTTTATTCATTCTAAGCAGAGACAACCTTACCTTTTCTTAGAAGTTTCAAGGAAATGAAATTGTACAGGTCTTTGCAGCAGCCAGCATAGCTGGACTAAATGCCTCCATTTATGTTTCCAGTCCTGCATCCTGTGCCTTTCCTGGCACATGAGGGGACCAGCAGCCTTTCCTGTCACATGTGAGTCTCCCTGGCCTGTCTGCCTCGGTCTTGCTGGCCCCAGTTTCACATCTCCATCACTGCCTGGCAGGAAGAAGAAAGCTACAAGTCAGGTTTTCCAGTCAGGACATGCTTGCTGTCAGCCCTCACTGGAGATGGAGCCAGTTTCCCTTCTTGTTTTAATTGGCATCAATTTGTTTATTATAAGTGTGGCTTTTTTGGAAATAGACCAGAAAAATAATTTCCTATCTGGACAGCTAAGAGCACTGAGCTCCTCTTTGCTCACTGGCTGTATTTAGGACTAACTCTGGCTTCATCGTTCCTTCTAATCCACAGCCAGGCAGGCACCTGAGTTAGTGCTGTATACAGAGGCCTTGGTTGATATCTGGAAAAAGCTTCTGCAAGACTAGGGGTAGTGCCAGAATTTTCACATTGGAGGGACATGGAGGCAGGAATTTGATGGGTGGTGGGGGAGGTGCTAGAATTGTCCTACAGCTCTGCAAAGCAATCACCCTGGTTTTGCTAGATGCTATTTTATAGAGCATGGAGACAAGCAATTCTGCTTCATGACCAAATCTGGCCCACTACCTGCCTTTGTAAATAAAGTTTTATTGGAACACGCCCCATACCTATTTATTCACTTAATGTTTATGGCTGCTTTATGGCTACAGGGGCAGCTCCAAGCAGCTGCGAAAGAGACTGCGTGACCTGTAAAAGCCTGAAAATACTTACCACAGTCTAGCCCTTCGTAGGAAAAGTTCCCTGACTCCTGACAAAACAAAATTTTGTAAAGATGTTTTCTTTATAACGATGTTTAAAACGAGAAGGCATCCTTTACCCTTGCAAATATTTGTATCTGTGGCTGTCCCAGTGGGTGGCATGAGGACCCTTGATGGGAAGGAGGGTGTATAATTTTCCTATAAGACGTGTTTGTACCCCGATGGTGGAAATGCTGCCCCCTGGGCCCCCGTGGCCCGTCTCTCTGAATGCTGGCCCTCAGCTCTGGGGTTTTGCTTTGTGTACAAGCTCTTATCCTTTGCTCGAGCGCCTACTCTCCCTTATCTGAGTTGTTTCTCAGTTTTTTTTGTTTCTCAGTTTCTCAGGCCACAGCGCCCATGGAAAATGGACTTATTATAAAAGGAGGAGGGTATTAACAGTAGAGGCACTCTGCACTGCCCCCACCCCATCACGAGGCCTCAGCCTCAAGTTCCAGACTCTGCATTTACCAAAAACCAAGGGCAGATTGGGAATCATTGCAGCCCTGTAGCAATCTGGGTGAACTTTCACGTGTGGGTAGCAAGAGCAATCTGGATCTCTTAATCTAGGGTGTCAAGGAGTGTAGGCTACACTTTTCTGCTACTCCTCCAGCACAGGACCACCTGACCCCCAGGTACCCTAACCCAGGGCAGACTCCATCTTATTAATGACCTGTTGGAGCATTCTAAGCCCCTGGTGATTCCTCCTTGTGGCGCAAACAGCCCATCCCTGGTAGGTCCATCACCAGTTCTAGCAGGCCTGTTGGTGTCTTCACGCTCTCTGCTTTCAGTCACCACTGTACTCCACAGCGCTCGGCCACTCCAGGCCACTCCTCCGTCCTGGCACCGCAACACGCTGCACCGCGCTGCGCCGCGCTGCGCCCCCCACCCACGCACGCCACGCACGCCACGCACGCCACGCACGCCACGCACGCCACGCACGCCACGCACGCCACGCACGCCACGCCGCTGGGCTGAGTGCGCATGCGCAGTGGGAGGGCGGACAAGCCTGACGCTTGCCCCCCTACTTACCCACACTCCTACAGTCCATTTAAGCCTAATTGGAGTTTCCGACCCTAGCCAGGGTGGTATTATTGTCTGTCTCATGAGGCTGAGGAATGGGACCTCAGAGAAGTGAAGCAAGTGGTTCTAGGTCACGCATCTAGAGGGGCCCTGGCTGGCAGAGTCTGGAGCCCAGGGCCCTGCCAGCTGGTGTGAGAGTAAATGAAAACAACTGGGGCTCCCCAGAGAGGGTTAGGGGTGTGGAGATACCTTCACCCACAACGCACCCCCAGGCTATGGTATAAATCCTTCCGCCAACCTGCTGGGGTTTGAAGCCAGCGCGGGCAGGCTCTGTGCCTCTGCCAGAAGGGCCCAGGCACCCATGGGTGGGGGTGGCTGAACCATCCTTGGGGGCTCAGCCATCCTGAGCCCCCTGCAGTTATATCTGACACCTCTCTTTAGAAAGGGCAGGTGCTGGCTGCCTGTTCTTTTCAGCAAAGACCCTAACACACAGGACAAGTCGTCATGTCACATCCTGTTATGGTCTCTGGGTTGATTTTTCACCCTCATATGACCAAAAAAAAAATTCTTATGTGATTTAAAAAACTGTGTGCAAAAACTTAGCAAGAGTTTATGGGCAGTTTCCTCAGATGTCTGATCTAGCTCATGAGAGTCTTCTGGGTTGCGAAGGTTAAGGGCGGCTGGTCTGCAGTGGCAGGGCCATTCATGCGCCTTCCTGTCCTCTCAGGCTCCCCTTCCCGAGGCCTCCTGACTCCTTGCCCAGGACTCTCTCTCACTGGGTCCTTTTGTCCATTTGCCTGGAATGAGGTCTCTTTTTCTGATCTGAAGTCTGATTTAAACTGACGTCATTTCACCACTTAGCAGTTGGCTCTGGGATCTCTGCGCTGAGCCAGTTCATCAGGCCGTGTGTGTGTGTCGGTGTAGTTGGATTTGGTGGGAATTTCCCCGTGTGGCCTAGACCGTGGCACTTGCTGGCATTCAGACCATGCCATGGACGGTCCCCTGAGTTTTCAGCATCTGCCCACTCTTGCTCTTCTATAGTAAAACCACCCCATGAACTGCCCACAATCTCCTAGCGGCCCAAGAACCCCCTCCCCCGCTTGGTGGAACCAACAACTGAGGAGCCAGCTCACCCTGGACTCTCCTTGGCAGACTAGAAGGAGCTGGGGAGAGAGGCAAAAGAGAAAGAGGGTTGCTGTGCTTTTTCTCACTTATTTTTAAGCTTTTTGATTACTCCCTAGACTTGGGTACACAGTGGGGTGCAAGATGGTGAATGGGTCGTCATATTAGCTTAACTGTGAACTTTGAACTCTGTTATTTCTTCAAGTGACAAAGGCCATGTACTACCAGCCTGCAGGGTTGTCATGAGGACAAAACTGGTGACTCACACAAGGGAGCTCCCAGGGGGACTCTGTATGGATGGAGCCTTTGGAAGAGGTGTGTGTGTGGGGTGATCCTTGGGTGCCACCAGTCAGAGCAACATCCAGCTAAGGCAGTCTGGTCTATGGCTCAGGAATGCTTTGGTGATGAAGAAATCTCTAAATAGAAGTGTTGGGAAAGCAGAGTAGCTGGGCCTTTTGATACCTTCTATTAAGCACCCCCATGGGTGCTTAATTCAGAGTCCATACTGCAACTGTTGATTGGGAAGAACTGGGGTTAAAGGTCTGCTTATTTATCTGTCTCCTTTGTGTTAGAAAGTTTTGAATCTTTCCATGGCAGTAAGAGGTTGAGGGGCACACCTGTTCTGCACATGCCTGCCTGGTGTGTATTTGTGCAGGTGAGTCAGTGCAGGGCCTAACTGCGCAACTAACACTCAGTGTTGTTGTCAGGTTGTTGCTAGGTCTCTTTGCTATAAAGTACGTGATTACAAGAGGGTAGAGCTCTGAGAAAGCTGTGTAGAGAAAAATGCTGCAGACCCTGTTTTCCTGAGGAAAACAAAACCAGATGGTAGATGAGATAGAACAGAGACTAGAGAGGCTCCTGCGAGATAAGGTGAGAGGAATGTGAAGACCTTGCCCCACTCTCCACCCCATTGAAAGGCAGAGGAGGGCCTGCCCCAGGTGAGGAAGCTGAGGGCACTGAATATTCCTGTCATGGAGTAAGAGTTGCAGGATGTAAATGGACCTGCCCCTTGGGGGGCCAGAACAAGATCTGGGGCTGCCAGACCCAAGAGATACCTCAGGTGTGCAAAGTGGTGCCTGCCAGTAATAGCCTGTGCTCCCCCAAGACCCACCACTTTCCCTAAACTCTCATTTGTGGGTTTCATTCCACAAGAGGGCTTGTAAGTGAAGGAGAGGCCTCAAGATATTCAGAGCAAACTTTTTTTTTTTAATGTGGGACAAGGTCTCCAGGCCCTTCCAGCTTCAAGAGAAATGATTACCATCAAAGAATGAAGATAACCCAGATTTAGGATCATTTCCAGAAATAACATTGATATAGGAGAACCCATGGCAGGGCAAACATCTGGGGCTTTGTCATCTGAGTCAGCCCCTCCTTGTCATGTGAGGCCCAATCCTCTTTCCCTGATACCCAGGGAAACCCTCACTCCTTAGCTCCAAAGTAAAGACCCTTCCTTGGTCTGGCCTGTCTGCTATAGAGTTTACAGTCACCTGAGTACCCCATATACATGTAATTAAATATGGCCTTTTTCTCCTGCTAATCTGTTTTTGATATTAATCTGTTGTTTGACCAGGACTAGAAGAGCCTAAAGGGGAGAGGAAAATTTTCCCTTCACCCCTCCACAATCCAGGGAAAGAACACGGTTTGGACGTGTGGCTGTTCGTGCCTCTTCTATTTTGGGTGCTCAGGCTGCTTCTCACAAATATTTGCCTCATTCCCATTTATGATTTCACCCTCTAGGCACCTGGTTCCAGGCTTGGCATGCCTGGCTGGGTTCCCAGGCTCAAGTCTTCCCCTTTGAACACATCTGTTTCATGACTGGCAGAGTAAATTCAAGACTCCGAAGCAATGATCAGGTTTTAAACAACAGTGGCTTTGGGGAAATCAATTTCCCAGTGACACGTGATGTGTACGCTGTACCAACCACCTGTTCCCACAGTGCCCTCTCTCGTGGCTCTCTCTAGCCAATTGGTGCACATTAAACTAACCTTCCTAGAAAGTCATGGAGAGACGCTAGTGAGGAGGCAGAAAGATGCCAAAAGGTAGCTCTCCCCACAATGTCTAGAGCAGGTCTTCCCAAGGCGTGTCACTTTGGTATGTGGATATTTTTGTAATGACGTCACTCAAGCTCCTGCAGGCTCAGAAGAAACTTTAACACTCCCTTAACTACCTAGAAGAGTAAAAAGTGAGAGTATTATGCAGAATTAGAATTTTTTTTTTACTAGATATAACCTTACTATCAGGGACACCTATCTATATAGCAGTGCCAACATCTAATTATAGAACATCTGGTCTCTGTCCCATGAGTCACCCTATCCTCATCATGTGAGTCACCCTCTTCTCTGCTTGAAGCCCCAGGTCCCTATCCCACTGGGTCAGTATGGATACATATTCTTATTTTGCTATTTGCTTTAGAATTTATATCTATGTAGATTCTCTATTTGTATGTAATTAAAATTATGCCATTCTCCTATTAATCTGTCTGATGTTGATTTGATGACTTTACCAGCCTGAGAAGGACCCAGAGGGGTAGAGGGATATTTCCTCTGTGCCCCAACAATGCCAACTCCCAACATCCCAAACCTCTGCATCTCGGGGAACCAGACTCCTTGGAACACCTGTCTCTGTGTTGTGTCTGTTTCACTCAACTCAGGCTTGTCTGTCCATCTCTCTCTTTCACATACCAGCATACATGCAGTCTTTAAAATTCCTTTTTCCTTGTTTTCTTTTTTCTAAGCATCAAAATACTGAATACACTGTCTGGTTCTGTATTAAATTTAAAGTTTTGTATAATTTGGGAAGGGGAGGAAAGAAAAGATATCTTGGCAGACCTTGGTTTAAAGATTGACTGATCATTCAAGGAAGCTGTCATATACCACGTGTTGCTCATGGCAAATGATGAAACCGTGATTCTACCCCAGCCCTTGAGGAGCTTGATGTCCCACAAGAAACCACTACTGTTTGATCATGTGACTTGAAATAGATTACAATGATAGAGAAGAAGCAATGTTTGAAAAAGTTTTCTTTGGGGCAAAGGTAGTGAGTGAGTCTCAGCCTTGAGGTCTGAGTCAGAAGGCCCCATGGAACTTGGGATATCTGGACTGGCTTAGAAATCAGAAGTCCCTATAGAGCTTCATAAAAATGTAGATGTTAAGGATCTGATTCCAGAATTTCTGCAAATCTGTGGAAGCCCAGCATCAGAGGTGATAGAAAGTTCCAGGTAACTTTGATGCACTTGAATGCAGATGACCCTGACCAGTCTGCACCTCTTAGCTGACCCTGGCCTTGTTTGATCACCCCCTGTTTCCTGACTTCCTCCCTGGGGTCAGCTGAAGTCATCCTATTTTGAGTCACTATTCATAGTTTTTGGCTTCTAAATGATAGAATAGAAAAATGCTGAATAATTATTAGTTTGCTAGTTAGAATCTCACAGAGCCAGCAAAGGAGGCCATGGGCCCAATTCCAGCAAAAGCAGCAGCCGTAGGAGCAGCACCCAGAGCCCAGTCAGTGCCCCACCCCGTGTCTCTCTTTCCCCAACACCCCTCCTCGCTCCTCTGCAGGCTGCTGACCCACCCCTGCTCTCTGGTGGGGTCTGTCAAATCTGACCCCCTTTCTCTCCCTGAGTCTTCCTTCTTTCTTCATTCCCCTTTCCCCATTAACTGCTCTTAATATGAATCTGATGCTCATTAG